CACATATCAGAGATGTTGGGTAGTTGCAGCAGGAAGGTGGGGAAGGGCGCGGTGAGGTTGTTGTTCTGCAGGGAGATGATCTCCAGTGATGAGAGCGCTGCCCATGAGTCCGGTGGCGGGGTGCGCACCCCCGCGTTGGCCAGGTCGCTGGGAGGCGGGCGGGGGAAGGGGAGGAGAGGAGAGAGGGAGGAGGGAGTGGGAAAGGCCTTCAGCGATGAGAGCGCCGCCCATGAGTCTGGTGGTGGGGTGCGCACTCCCGCATTAGCCAGATCACTGGGAGGTGAGAGGTGAGAGAGGAGAGGAGGGGAGGGGGGTAAGAAGGGCGCGGTGAGGTCGTTACTGTGCAGGGAGACGATCTCCAGCGATGAAAGCGCTGCCCATGAGTCTGGCGGCGGGGTGACCACTCCTGTACTGGCCAGGTCGCTGTGAGGTGGGGGGAATGGGAGGGTAGTTGAGGAGAGTAGAGGTAGGATGGGTTCAGGGGGGAAAAAGGGGTGCTGGTGAGCAGATGGAGGAGAGGGTGGGAGAGTTGTGGTGGGGTTCTATTGAGCAGGAATTAGGAGTAGTACAAGACAAGAAGCTTATAGAACAGGAGCAGAAAGACGGGAGGGGTGAGGCTTACAGAACGGTCAGTGCTGGGGCAGGCATGCAAAGAGCGAGAACAACAGGACCAGAAGGTGAGAGATTCTGAAGGTGGGAGGCGGTGCAAGGAGCGAGGGGCGGCACTGACAGCAGGTGCAGGTTGGAGAGAGCGCTCCAGCTGTCAGGCAGGGGTGATGGGGAGATGGGTGTGATGGGTGTGATGGGGGGACACTCACAGCAGGTGCAGGTTGGAGAGAGCGCTCCAGCTGTCAGGCAGGGGGCCGCTGAAGGTGTTGCTGCCCACCTCGCTGATGCGGTGATGGGGAAATCGGTGATGGGGGATGGAGGGTGGGGGATGAGAGATGGGTGATGAGGGTGGGGATGGGGGATGGGGGATGGAGGGTGGGGGATGCTGGGCGGGGTGGGGTGATGGGTTAATGGGTGGATCATGGAGAGATGAGTGATGGGTGATAAGGGGATAGGGTGATGGGTGATGATGAGGAGATGGGGAGATGGATGATAGGGGATGGCCGATGGGATGGTGGGGATTATCGTGTGTAAGTAAGGGCACTGAAAATCATTGGATGGAAACTCCATTTCCCATGCCATCCCTTCCCCTGAGAATTGGAGAATCTTTGGTGGTGTCCAGCACTCCAGTCCCCATCCTTTGGGGTTCATGATAGCTTCTTAACATGAGGAATATGGGAGGAGAACTAGTGGTTGATTGTGCATGGAACAAAAAAAAAGAGAAGGAACAATAGACTAGCAGAACGGCTTCAAACGTTAGTGGAGTGCTTACAGGTTTTTGAGGGCAGTGAGTGCGGAGAGCCCTGCAGGAAACGAGTCAGCAAGCTGGTTGGAGGCGAGGGAGAGAATCTCCAGGGCTGTCACGGCGGACACGCCTGCGGGCAGGGCGCCGGGGATGCGGTTACCACTCAGGTCGCTGGGGAGAGAGATTGGAGGGAGACGGGGAGAGAGATGGGGAGAGAGATGGGGAGATGGGGGAGGGAACGGGGAGAGAGGCAGGGAAGGGTTGGGAGGTGAGGGTGGTTGGGAGGTGAGGGTGGTTGGGAGGTGAGGGTGGTTGGGAGGTGAGGGTGGTTGGGAGGTGAGGGTGGTTGGGAGGTGAGGGTGGTTGGGAGGTGAGGGTGGTTGGGAGGTGAGGGTGGTTGGGAGGTGAGGGTGGTTGGGAGGTGAGGGTGGTTGGGAGGTGAGGGTGGTTGGGAGGTGAGGGTGGTTGGGAGGTGAGGGTGGTTGGGAGGTGAGGGTGGTTGGGAGGTGAGGGTGGTTGGGAGGTGAGGGTGGTTGGGAGGTGAGGGTGGTTGGGAGGTGAGGGTGGTTGGGAGGTGAGGGTGGTTGGGAGGTGAGGGTGGTTGGGAGGTGAGGGTGGTTGGGAGGTGAGGGTGGTTGGGAGGTGAGGGTGGTTGGGAGGTGAGGGTGGTTGGGAGGTGAGGGTGGTTGGGAGGTGAGGGTGGTTGGGAGGTGAGGGTGGTTGGGAGGTGAGGGTGGTTGGGAGGTGAGGGTGGTTGGGAGGTGAGGGTGGTTGGGAGGTGAGGGTGGTTGGGAGGTGAGGGTGGTTGGGAGGTGAGGGTGGTTGGGAGGTGAGGGTGGTTGGGAGGTGAGGGTGGTTGGGAGGTGAGGGTGGTTGGGAGGTGAGGGGAAATGAAGGAGGAAACCTGTTCTAGTATGATCGAGTCGAGTCAACCAACCAGCCCCATCCCATCCCATCACAGGTCATGCGCACCTTCTTCAACCAACCAGCCCCATCCCATCCCATCACAGGTCATGCGCACCTTCTTCAACCAACCAGCCCCATCCCATCCCATCACAGGTCATGCGCACCTTCTTCAACCAACCAGCCCCATCCCATCCCATCACAGGTCATGCGCACCTTCTTCAACCAACCAGCCCCATCCCATCCCATCACAGGTCATGCGCACCTTCTTCAACCAACCAGCCCCATCCCATCCCATCACAGGTCATGCGCACCTTCTTCAACCAACCAGCCCCATCCCATCCCATCACAGGTCATGCGCACCTTCTTCAACCAACCAGCCCCATCCCATCCCATCACAGGTCATGCGCACCTTCTTCAACCAACCAGCCCCATCACATCACAGGTCATGCGCACCTTCTTCAACCAACCAGCCCCATCACATCACAGGTCATGCGCACCTTCTTCAACCAACCAGCCCCATCCCATCACAGGTCATGCGCACCTTCTTCAACCAACCAGCCCCATCCCATCACAGGTCATGCGCACCTTCTTCAACCAACCAGCCCCATCACATCACAGGTCATGCGCACCTTCTTCAACCAACCAGCACATCACAGGTCATGCGCACCTTCTTCAACCAACCAGCCCCATCCCATCACAGGTCATGCGCACCTTCTTCAACCAACCAGCCCCATCCCATCACAGGTCATGCGCACCTTCTTCAACCAACCAGCCCCATCACATCACAGGTCATGCGCACCTTCTTCAACCAACCAGCCCCATCACATCACAGGTCATGCGCACCTTCTTCAACCAACCAGCCCCATCACATCACAGGTCATGCGCACCTTCTTCAACCAACCAGCCCCATCACATCACAGGTCATGCGCACCTTCTTCAACCAACCAGCCCCATCACATCACAGGTCATGCGCACCTTCTTCAACCAACCAGCCCCATCACATCACAGGTCATGCGCACCTTCTTCAACCAACCAGCCCCATCACATCACAGGTCATGCGCACCTTCTTCAACCAACCAGCCCCATCACATCACAGGTCATGCGCACCTTCTTCAACCAACCACCCCCATCACATCACAGGTCATGCGCACCTTCTTCAACCAACCACCCCCATCACATCACAGGTCATGCGCACCTTCTTCAACCAACCAGCCCCATCACATCACAGGTCATGCGCACCTTCTTCAACCAACCAGCCCCATCCCATCACAGGTCATGCGCACCTTCTTCAACCAACCAGCCCCATCCCATCACAGGTCATGCGCACCTTCTTCAACCAACCAGCCCCATCACATCACAGGTCATGCGCACCTTCTTCAACCAACCAGCCCCATCACATCACAGGTCATGCGCACCTTCTTCAACCAACCAGCCCCATCACATCACAGGTCATGCGCACCTTCTTCAACCAACCACCCCCATCACATCACAGGTCATGCGCACCTTCTTCAACCAACCACCCCCATCACATCACAGGTCATGCGCACCTTCTTCAACCAACCAGCCCCATCCCATCACAGGTCATGCGCACCTTCTTCAACCAACCAGCCCCATCACATCACAGGTCATGCGCACCTTCTTCAACCAACCAGCCCCATCACATCACAGGTCATGCGCACCTTCTTCAACCAACCAGCCCCATCACATCACAGGTCATGCGCACCTTCTTCAACCAACCAGCCCCATCACATCACAGGTCATGCGCACCTTCTTCAACCAACCAGCCCCATCCCATCACAGGTCATGCGCACCTTCTTCAACCAACCAGCCCCATCCCATCACAGGTCATGCGCACCTTCTTCAACCAACCAGCCCCATCACATCACAGGTCATGCGCACCTTCTTCAACCAACCAGCCCCATCCCATCACAGGTCATGCGCACCTTCTTCAACCAACCAGCCCCATCCCATCACAGGTCATGCGCACCTTCTTCAACCAACCAGCCCCATCCCATCACAGGTCATGCGCACCTTCTTCAACCAACCAGCCCCATCCCATCACAGGTCATGCGCACCTTCTTCAACCAACCAGCCCCATCACATCACAGGTCATGCGCACCTTCTTCAACCAACCAGCCCCATCACATCACAGGTCATGCGCACCTTCTTCAACCAACCAGCCCCATCACATCACAGGTCATGCGCACCTTCTTCAACCAACCAGCCCCATCCCATCACAGGTCATGTGCACCTTCTTCAACCAACCAGCCCCATCACATCACAGGTCATGCGCACCTTCTTCAACTAACCAGCCCCATCCCATCACAGGTCATGACTCATGCGCACCTTCTTACAATCAAGATAACTTCTCTCGTTTCGCTCACTGACACGGCACCCCAACTTCCACACATGACCCACTAACTGAAACAGCCCCTACCAGCAGCAGCCCCTACCAGCAGCAGCCCCCTCCTCCCAGCGGGCAGGGCAGGGCTCACAGTTTCTGCAGGTTGAGGAGCGCAGAGACTTCGCCCACCACAGGCGCATCCAGGCCATTGCGGGACAGCTGGCTGCGGGGGAGGGATGGGCAGGCGGATGGGCAAGGGGGGGGGGGCGGGCGGATGGGCAGGGGGGTGGGCGGGCGGATGGGGGGAGCGGGGTAGGCGGGGAACAGGGGGGAGAGGGGGGTGGCAGGAAAAGAGCAGACGGAGCTAGATGGGTGGGGGGAAGAGGCAGGGGGAATGAGGGGAAGGAGCGGATAGAAGGTGAGGTGAGGAGAATGTGGTGCGTGGGGGGTGGCAGCGCGGAAGGTTCAGGAGGTAGGGATGCTGTGAGCATGTGAGGGGTGAGGAGCGAGGGAAGGGGAGGTGCGGGTGTGACCAAGGGGTTGAAACGCAATTGCTGACAGCTTCTTTGACCGTCAATCACCCTCGCAGAACCCCCCTCACTCTCATCCCACTCACTCTCATCCCACTCACTCTCATCCCCCTCACTCTCACCCCCCTCCCCCCCCCCCCCCCCCCTCACATGTCTCTCAGCGCAGTGAACTTGGAGATGGCAGCAGTGAACGGAGGGCCAGAGATGGAGTTGCCTGCTCACACCCTTCTCACTCAAATCCCACTCACTCTCATCCCCCTTACTCACTCTCATCCCCCTTACTCACTCTCATCCCCCTTACTCACTCTCATCCCCCTTACTCACTCTCATCCCCCTTACTCACTCTCATCCCCCTTACTCACTCTCATCCCCCTTACTCACTCTCATCCCCCTCACCCTCATCCCCCTCACCCTCATCCCCCTCACAGGCGCTTGGTACACCCTCACATGTCTCTCAGCGCAGTGAACTTGGAGATGGCAGCAGTGAACGGAGGGCCAGAGATGGAGTTGCCCGACAGATCAACGGCCTGCAGGTGCTCCAGCACCGTCAGGGAGTCCCAGGGGATCGACCCCTTTAAGCCACCTGGCGTCTTCTGATTGGCCCACGATGCATTGATGACAGCTAGAGTGGGATTGGCAATGTTTCTGTGGTTGGTGGCAAGGGAAAACGGGGAGAAAGGGACGAAGGGGGAGGGGCGAAAGGGAGGGAAAAGATGAAGGGAAGAAGGAAAAAGATGGAAGGGAGAAGACGGGAAGAAGAAAAGGGCAGTCTGAGGAGGGGGGAGAGGGAGAGGGGGAACGGGACGAGTTGGTAGCATAGCAGGTGAGGAAAGGAAAGATGGGGGTACCGGTGGGGGAACCATAGTGAAGAGAGGAAAGAGGCGGAGGGGGAGTGAAAGGGTGCAAACGGAGGGGCTGGAAAGGAAGGGGGCGAGAGGACGAGGGGCTGATCCGAGGTGGTCGGCACTCACATGCTGGAGACAAGCGCTCACATCCCCTCAGCCCCTCACTTGCTCACATGATAAGACCCGCCCTCATGGTGCTGCTCACATGCTGGAAACGCGGCCGTGCGAGTCGCAGGAGAGGAACTCCCAGAACTGCACGCACGGCTTGCTGTGCTCGTACGACAGCCCCTGCGACTGGTTCCCCCACCCCGCCCACCGGAACGCTGGGTGCCCGCCCAGCGCCGCTGCCAGCGACAGCAGCGCCGCCTCTGGGGGGGGGAGGGAAGGGGGGGTGGGGGGAGGGGGGAAGAGGCGGGGGCGAGGGGGGAGTTTGGGAAGTGGGGAGAGGGGGCTGGTGGATGCACGGAGACGAGGAGGAGGGGAAACATATGCGCGGAGCGGAGACGACCGCCCCTGCGACGCGTTCCCCCACCCCGCCCACCGGAACGCTGCATGGTCGCCCAGCGCTGCTGCCAGCGACAGCAGCGCCGCCTCTGGGAGGCGGCAACAGGGAGGGGGGAACGGGGGAGGTAGACGATTGGACGCGCGGAGGCGCAAGGGCGTGCAGTGGGTGCTGCGCTGCGCTGCGCTGGTGTGCCTCCTGCGTGCTACGCAGTGGGTGGTGCGCTGCGCTGCTGGGCGAAGAGCGTCTCGGGCAGGAGAGCGGCAGGGCGGGCTGTGGGAGGGCGGTTGATCTGTGGGGCAGACTACGGTTGAGCAAAAGGGTCGTGCGCGTGGCGCATGGGCCAATGGAAGGGCACTGGGGTGCGCGGTAGGGGATGGGAGGAAGGAGCATGTCGTGTCGTTGCAACAGATCTATCATATACGTCCATGCATTCACCATGCCATCATCGTCGCATGCCTCGCGTTTCTCAGCCATTGTCGGCCACAGCCGCCATTGTAATAAACCGCTACTCTTATCTCCCTTTTCTAAATATCCCCGCTACAGTCATACCCGCGACGTACTCTCAGCGAGCGCCACGTCATTGGCCGTGCCGAGCCCCGGCAGCGGCTGGATGACGTCAGCGCGCACCATCGCTGGCGGCGGGAGCGACGCGCAGAGCGCGACGAGCGACGCGACAGCAACGATTCGTTGAAGTCGCCGCTGGCAATGCCGCCGCAGGTCGTTTCGACAACTCGAAGCAACGTAACGGCAATGCGGCTGAGCGAACAGCCGCGTGAGATGATCTGGAGGCATACCTATTGAAATCCGCGCAGTGCGATGGTGGGGAACGCTGGAAATAGGAGGCTCGAGGGTGGGAGTTTGAGGGAAAGGGAGAGGTCGGTGAGGCTTGTAGGGTAGTGGTGTTGGTAGCAGCTGGGGCTAAAACGGGCTGCGACTGAGGGTGCCAGGGGAGACTCGGATAAATCACGTGATGAAATGCGGTTAGCTTTGGTGAGTTCCGGTTCGGTCGGTGCGCATTTCGACATAAAATCGCTTGGGGGTGTGTCGCAGGTGTCGCAGATTTGTGCCATTCGCTTCGATTCAAACATAAATTTTGCACGCGCGAAAACTGTATAACGGGACGACCTTCTATCGCGTAAATGTTACCCTCTTCACACCACCTCCACTTTCCCCGCCATTTCAGTTCCATCCCCGAAGCGCTGCCCGCCCACACTCGTCCCTTCACCTTTCACCCTGCCCAATTTGTCACAACCCTACAACTAACGACGTCCAATTCTGGTTTGTTTCTCCCCATGCCGCCCGCCGCCGCAATCCGCTCCCCCCTTCCTCTCACGCGCACGCCCAGCGCGGCCTCACTCCGCGGATTTCTCCCCGCGACAGACTCGCCGGAACTTAATCGCTCCCTCTACGTTTCCTATTTCGACGTCACCCGGAAACCTACTTACCATCCCGCGCCTCATTCTGCCTGCGCGGTGTGCTTTGGCGGGGGGAATCCGAGGTGCGGCGCCAAAGAGCCGCGCGCTCGAAGAAGCGCGCAGAACGGCGGAGTGAGACAGGGAACGTTCCGCGCTAGACCGGGGGATCTGCGCACCCCTCTTGCGCGCGCAGCAGCGGGAGATGAAGGCGGAGCAGCGAGGGCGCAAGTAGAAGGAACGGCGGGCGGTGCGCCCGATGCGCGCGTGGCGCGAGTGATGCGCGTTTTACGGGAGGACCTGCCGGCGCAGTACGAGCGAGACCTGGATTGGTCCATCTACGATGCCAGCGTGGCATTCGTGGATCCTGTGACGCGATTGGACGGGCTGATTCTGTACCGCGGGATGATCAGCAGCCTGAGGCTAATCACGGTAGTGGGATTCGAACCAGGGTCTCTCGTTTTCGAAGTGCACTCACTGGAAGAGGTGAGCTGTGCTTGCAATGCCCCTTTTTGACTCACCATCACTCTCCATCATCCTCTCGCCCCTCCCTTCTTCCCCACAACCCCCCCCCCCCCTGCTTCACCAGTCGACCCCCCTCCACCCCCTCCCTCCATCTCCTCATCCCTGCCCTCCTCTCCCCTCCCCCACCGCGCACACAGCATGTTAGCAGGGCCCATAGAACGGCTGCAACATTCCCCACAACTTTAGACATCCCAACGTAGCTTCCCCTCTCCCTTTCCCTCTCCTCCCCCTCTCCTCCCCCTCTCCTCCCCCCCTCTTCCCCTCCCCTTCCCCTCTCCTCCCCTCCACTTCCCTGTTCCCCTCTCCAGGTCCCTCCCGACGCGCGCACCCTCTCACCCTTCCCCCCGCGTCCAGGGCTAAGTTGCCAAATACGCTTATTGCGTATATACGCGTATCGTATATACGCTAGCGTATGTACGCTATCCGCGTAGGGGTTCGATGTGGACATACGCTTTTTCGGGCAGGGAAAAAACTTTCCGGGCAGGGTGGAAAAAAAAGTACTCCCTATTCTCACTATGACGTGCCCTAGCAGCATTATTCTGAGTCCGAACGGCGAGTGGGGCGGGAAGTGGGGTAGACATTTCAACTAGAGAGAGGAGGAGTGGGCGGGAGGAACTCTGTTGGAAGCGGGAATGAATCGTGGGAAATGACGAAGTAGCAGCTAGGTTGTCTGGTAAGTAGTGTGAAAGGTTAGTTGAGAGGTCGATTTCGACAGGTTGGAGTCTGTAAAAGGGTTGGGATGGGTTCAATGCGGTAGATGAGATGGGTTTCAATCAATTTGTAGATCTGAAATTCGACATTTGCCAAATGTACCTGAGAACTTCGAAGTCAGATCCCGGCTAGCGTAGACCACGGATTTTCAATTTGACTTCGGCGAAATGCTCACCTAGAAATTCCGCAGCTATTTCGAAATATTTTTTTGGGGCAGCCCGGAAAATTTCCTGAGAGCGTATAGCGTATTCGCGGGCGTATAGCGGATAGCGTACAAACGACAGCGTATATACGCTATACGCTAAAGGGGTTGAGCGTATTTGGCAACTTAGGTCCAGGGCTGGAGAGGCGCGAGGGGGAGGCGTCGGTGTGTTTCTGAGTCGACTCAAAATTCACCCTGCTACTAAACCCCACTTCCCTGTTCCCCTCTCCAGGTCCCTCCCGATGCGCGCACCCTCTCACCCTTCTCCCCGCGTCCAGGGCTGGAGGGGCGCGCGGGGGAGGCGGTGTGTGCAGTGCGGAGTGTCTGGAGCACGAGGGGGCAGACCCGGTGGGGGAAGGTGCTGAGCATCACAGGAGGTGCGTTGGGCATCACAGGAGGTGCGTTGGGCATCACAGGAGGTGCGTTGGGCATCACAGGAGGTGCGTTGGGCATCACAGGAGGTGCGTTGGGCATCACAGGAGGTGCGTTGGGCATCACAGGAGGTGCGTTGGGCATCACAGGAGGTGCGTTGGGCATCACTGGACGGAGGTGCGTTGGGCATCACTGGAGGTGGGTTGGGCATCACAGGAGGTGCGTTGGGCATCAACGGAGGTGCGTTGGGCATCACAGGAGGTGCGTTGGGCGTCACAGGAGGTGCGTTGGGCATCACAGGAGGTGCGTTGGGCATCACAGGAGGTGCGTTGGGCATCACAGGAGGTGCGTTGGGCATCACAGGAGGTGCGTTGGGCATCACTGGACGGAGGTGCGTTGGGCATCACTGGAGGTGGGTTGGGCATCACAGGAGGTGCGTTGGGCATCACAGGAGGTGCGTTGGGCATCACAGGAAGTGCGTTGGGCGTCACAGGAGGTGCGTTGGGCATCACAGGAGGTGCGTTGGGCATCACAGGAGGTGCGTTGGGCATCACAGGAGGTGCGTTGGGCATCACAGGAGGTGCGTTGGGCATCACAGGAGGTGCGTTGGGCATCACAGGAGGTGCGTTGGGCATCACAGGAGGTGCGTTGGGCATCACAGGAGGTGCGTTGGGCATCACTGGACGGAGGTGCGTTGGGCATCACAGGAGGTGCGTTGGGCATCACAGGAGGTGCGTTGGGCATCACAGGAGGTGCGTTGGGCATCACAGGAGGTGCGTTGGGCATCATTGGACGGAGGTGCGTTGGGCATCACAGGAGGTGCGTTGGGCATCACAGGAGGTGCGTTGGGCATCACAGGAGGTGCGTTGGGCATCACAGGAGGTGCGTTGGGCATCACAGGAGGTGCGTTGGGCATCACAGGAGGTGCGTTGGGCATCACTGGACGGAGGTGCGTTGGGCATCACAGGAGGTGCGTTGGGCATCACAGGAGGTGCGTTGGGCATCACAGGAGGTGCGTTGGGCATCACAGGAGGTGCGTTGGGCATCACAGGAGGTGCGTTGGGCATCACAGGAGGTGCGTTGGGCATCACAGGAGGTGCGTTGGGCATCACAGGAGGTGCGTTGGGCATCACAGGAGGTGCGTTGGGCATCACAGGAGGTGCGTTGGCCATCACTGGACGGAGGTGCGTTGGGCATCACAGGAGGTGCGTTGGGCATCACAGGAGGTGCGTTGGGCATCACAGGAGGTGCGTTGGGCATCACAGGAGGTGCGTTGGGCATCACAGGAGGTGCGTTGGGCATCACAGGAGGTGCGTTGGGCATCACAGGAGGTGCGTTGGGCATCACAGGAGGTGCGTTGGGCATCACAGGAGGTGCGTTGGGCATCACTGGACGGAGGTGCGTTGGGCATCACAGGAGGTGCGTTGGGCATCACAGGAGGTGCGTTGGCCATCACAGGAGGTGCGTTGGCCATCACAGGAGGTGCGTTGGGCATCACAGGAGGTGCGTTGGGCATCACAGGAGGTGCGTTGGGCATCACAGGAGGTGCGTTGGGCATCACAGGAGGTGCGTTGGGCATCACAGGAGGTGCGTTGGGCATCACAGGAGGTGCGTTGGGCATCACAGGAGGTGCGTTGGGCATCACTGGAGGTGCGTTGGGCATCACAGGAGGTGCGTTGGGCATCACAGGAGGTGCGTTGGGCATCACAGGAGGTGCGTTGGGCATCACAGGAGGTGCGTTGGGCATCACAGGAGGTGCGTTGGGCATCACTGGACGGAGGTGCGTTGGGCATCACAGGAGGTGCGTTGGGCATCACAGGAGGTGCGTTGGCCATCACAGGAGGTGCGTTGGGCATCACAGGAGGTGCGTTGGGCATCACAGGAGGTGCGTTGGGCATCACAGGAGGTGCGTTGGGCATCACAGGAGGTGCGTTGGGCATCACAGGAGGTGCGTTGGGCATCACAGGAGGTGCGTTGGGCATCACAGGAGGTGCGTTGGGCATCACAGGAGGTGCGTTGGCCATCACTGGACGGAGGTGCGTTGGGCATCACAGGAGGTGCGTTGGGCATCACAGGAGGTGCGTTGGGCATCACAGGAGGTGCGTTGGGCATCACACGAGGTGCGTTGGGCATCACAGGAGGTGCGTTGGGCATCACAGGAGGTGCGTTGGGCATCACAGGAGGTGCGTTGGGCATCATAGGAGGTGCGTTGGGCATCACAGGAGGTGCGTTGGCCATCACTGGACGGAGGTGCGTTGGGCATCACAGGAGGTGCGTTGGGCATCACAGGAGGTGCGTTGGGCATCACAGGAGGTGCGTTGGGCATCACAGGAGGTGCGTTGGGCATCACAGGAGGTGCGTTGGGCATCACAGGAGGTGCGTTGGGCATCACAGGAGGTGCGTTGGGCATCATAGGAGGTGCGTTGGGCATCACAGGAGGTGCGTTGGGCATCACTGGACGGAGGTGCGTTGGGCATCACAGGAGGTGCGTTGGGCATCACAGGAGGTGCGTTGGCCATCACAGGAGGTGCGTTGGGCATCACAGGAGGTGCGTTGGGCATCACAGGAGGTGCGTTGGGCATCACAGGAGGTGCGTTGGGCATCACAGGAGGTGCGTTGGGCATCACAGGAGGTGCGTTGGGCATCACAGGAGGTGCGTTGGGCATCACAGGAGGTGCGTTGGGCATCACAGGAGGTGCGTTGGGCATCACAGGAGGTGCGTTGGCCATCACTGGACGGAGGTGCGTTGGGCATCACAGGAGGTGCGTTGGGCATCACAGGAGGTGCGTTGGGCATCACAGGAGGTGCGTTGGGCATCACAGGAGGTGCGTTGGGCATCACAGGAGGTGCGTTGGGCATCACAGGAGGTGCGTTGGGCATCACAGGAGGTGCGTTGGGCATCAGAGGAGGTGCGTTGGGCATCACTGGACGGAGGTGCGTTGGGCATCACTGGACGGAGGTGCGTTGGGCATCACAGGAGGTGCGTTGGGCATCACAGGAGGTGCGTTGGCCATCACAGGAGGTGCGTTGGCCATCACAGGAGGTGCGTTGGGCATCACAGGAGGTGCGTTGGGCATCACAGGAGGTGCGTTGGGCATCACAGGAGGTGCGTTGGGCATCACAGGAGGTGCGTTGGGCATCACAGGAGGTGCGTTGGGCATCACAGGAGGTGCGTTGGGCATCACAGGAGGTGCGTTGGGCATCACTGGAGGTGCGTTGGGCATCACAGGAGGTGCGTTGGGCATCACAGGAGGTGCGTTGGGCATCACAGGAGGTGCGTTGGGCATCACAGGAGGTGCGTTGGGCATCACTGGACGGAGGTGCGTTGGGCATCACAGGAGGTGCGTTGGGCATCACAGGAGGTGCGTTGGCCATCACTGGACGGAGGTGCGTTGGGCATCACAGGAGGTGCGTTGGGCATCACAGGAGGTGCGTTGGGCATCACAGGAGGTGCGTTGGGCATCACAGGAGGTGCGTTGGGCATCACAGGAGGTGCGTTGGGCATCACAGGAGGTGCGTTGGGCATCACAGGAGGTGCGTTGGGCATCATAGGAGGTGCGTTGGGCATCACAGGAGGTGCGTTGGCCATCACTGGACGGAGGTGCGTTGGGCATCACAGGAGGTGCGTTGGGCATCACAGGAGGTGCGTTGGGCATCACAGGAGGTGCGTTGGGCATCACAGGAGGTGCGTTGGCCATCACAGGAGGTGCGTTGGGCATCACAGGAGGTGCGTTGGGCATCACAGGAGGTGCGTTGGGCATCACAGGAGGTGCGTTGGGCATCACAGGAGGTGCGTTGGGCATCACAGGAGGTGCGTTGGGCATCACAGGAGGTGCGTTGGGCATCACAGGAGGTGCGTTGGGCATCACAGGAGGTGCGTTGGGCATCACAGGAGGTGCGTTGGGCATCACAGGAGGTGCGTTGGCCATCACAGGAGGTGCGTTGGGCATCACAGGAGGTGCGTTGGGCATCACAGGAGGTGCGTTGGGCATCACAGGAGGTGCGTTGGGCATCACAGGAGGTGCGTTGGGCATCACAGGAGGTGCGTTGGGCATCACAGGAGGTGCGTTGGGCATCACAGGAGGTGCGTTGGCCATCACTGGACGGAGGTGCGTTGGGCATCACAGGAGGTGCGTTGGGCATCACAGGAGGTGCGTTGGGCATCACAGGAGGTGCGTTGGGCATCACAGGAGGTGCGTTGGGCATCACAGGAGGTGCGTTGGGCATCACAGGAGGTGCGTTGGGCATCACAGGAGGTGCGTTGGGCATCACTGGAGGTGCGTTGGGCATCACAGGAGGTGCGTTGGGCATCACTGGACGGAGGTGCGTTGGGCATCACAGGAGGTGCGTTGGGCATCACAGGAGGTGCGTTGGCCATCACAGGAGGTGCGTTGGGCATCACAGGAGGTGCGTTGGGCATCACAGGAGGTGCGTTGGGCATCACAGGAGGTGCGTTGGGCATCACAGGAGGTGCGTTGGGCATCACAGGAGGTGCGTTGGGCATCATAGGAGGTGCGTTGGGCATCACAGGAGGTGCGTTGGCCATCACTGGACGGAGGTGCGTTGGGCATCACAGGAGGTGCGTTGGGCATCACAGGAGGTGCGTTGGGCATCACAGGAGGTGCGTTGGGCATCACAGGAGGTGCGTTGGGCATCACAGGAGGTGCGTTGGGCATCACAGGAGGTGCGTTGGGCATCAGAGGAGGTGCGTTGGGCATCACAGGAGGTGCGTTGGCCATCACTGGACGGAGGTGCGTTGGGCATCACAGGAGGTGCGTTGGGCATCACAGGAGGTGCGTTGGCCATCACAGGAGGTGCGTTGGGCATCACAGGAGGTGCGTTGGGCATCACAGGAGGTGCGTTGGGCATCACAGGAGGTGCGTTGGGCATCACAGGAGGTGCGTTGGGCATCACAGGAGGTGCGTTGGGCATCATAGGAGGTGCGTTGGGCATCACAGGAGGTGCGTTGGCCATCACTGGACGGAGGTGCGTTGGGCATCACAGGAGGTGCGTTGGGCATCACAGGAGGTGCGTTGGGCATCACAGGAGGTGCGTTGGGCATCACAGGAGGTGCGTTGGGCATCACAGGAGGTGCGTTGGGCATCACAGGAGGTGCGTTGGCCATCACGGGAGGTGCGTTGGGCATCACAGGAGGTGCGTTGGGCATCACAGGAGGTGCGTTGGGCATCACAGGAGGTGCGTTGGGCATCACAGGAGGTGCGTTGGGCATCACAGGAGGTGCGTTGGGCATCATAGGAGGTGCGTTGGGCATCACAGGAGGTGCGTTGGCCATCACTGGACGGAGGTGCGTTGGGCATCACAGGAGGTGCGTTGGGCATCACAGGAGGTGCGTTGGGCATCACAGGAGGTGCGTTGGGCATCACAGGAGGTGCGTTGGGCATCACAGGAGGTGCGTTGGGCATCACAGGAGGTGCGTTGGGCATCACAGGAGGTGCGTTGGGCATCAGAGGAGGTGCGTTGGGCATCACAGGAGGTGCGTTGGCCATCACTGGACGGAGGTGCGTTGGGCATCACAGGAGGTGCGTTGGGCATCACAGGAGGTGCGTTGGCCATCACAGGAGGTGCGTTGGGCATCACAGGAGGTGCGTTGGGCATCACAGGAGGTGCGTTGGGCATCACAGGAGGTGCGTTGGGCATCACAGGAGGTGCGTTGGGCATCACAGGAGGTGCGTTGGGCATCATAGGAGGTGCGTTGGGCATCACAGGAGGTGCGTTGGCCATCACTGGACGGAGGTGCGTTGGGCATCACAGGAGGTGCGTTGGGCATCACAGGAGGTGCGTTGGGCATCACAGGAGGTGCGTTGGGCATCACAGGAGGTGCGTTGGGCATCACAGGAGGTGCGTTGGGCATCACAGGAGGTGCGTTGGGCATCACAGGAGGTGCGTTGGGCATCATAGGAGGTGCGTTGGGCATCACAGGAGGTGCGTTGGCCATCACTGGACGGAGGTGCGTTGGGCATCACAGGAGGTGCGTTGGGCATCACAGGAGGTGCGTTGGGCATCACAGGAGGTGCGTTGGGCATCACAGGAGGTGCGTTGGGCATCACAGGAGGTGCGTTGGGCATCACAGGAGGTGCGTTGGGCATCACAGGAGGTGCGTTGGGCATCACAGGAGGTGCGTTGGGCATCACAGGAGGTGCGTTGGGCATCACAGGAGGTGCGTTGGGCATCATAGGAGGTGCGTTGGGCATCACAGGAGGTGCGTTGGCCATCACTGGACGGAGGTGCGTTGGGCATCACAGGAGGTGCGTTGGGCATCACAGGAGGTGCGTTGGGCATCACAGGAGGTGCGTTGGGCATCACAGGAGGTGCGTTGGGCATCACAGGAGGTGCGTTGGGCATCACAGGAGGTGCGTTGGGCATCATAGGAGGTGCGTTGGGCATCACAGGAGGTGCGTTGGGCATCATAGGAGGTGCGTTGGGCATCACAGGAGGTGCGTTGGCCATCACTGGACGGAGGTGCGTTGGGCATCACAGGAGGTGCGTTGGGCATCACAGGAGGTGCGTTGGGCATCACAGGAGGTGCGTTGGGCATCACAGGAGGTGCGTTGGGCATCACAGGAGGTGCGTTGGGCATCACAGGAGGTGCGTTGGGCATCACAGGAGGTGCGTTGGGCATCATAGGAGGTGCGTTGGGCATCACAGGAGGTGCGTTGGCCATCACTGGACGGAGGTGCGTTGGGCATCACAGGAGGTGCGTTGGCCATCACTGGACGGAGGTGCGTTGGGCATCACAGGAGGTGCGTTGGGCATCACAGGAGGTGCGTTGGGCATCACAGGAGGTGCGTTGGGCATCACAGGAGGTGCGTTGGGCATCACAGGAGGTGCGTTGGGCATCACAGGAGGTGCGTTGGGCATCACAGGAGGTGCGTTGGGCATCACAGGAGGTGCGTTGGCCATCACTGGACGGAGGTGCGTTGGGCATCACAGGAGGTGCGTTGGGCATCACAGGAGGTGCGTTGGGCATCACAGGAGGTGCGTTGGGCATCACAGGAGGTGCGTTGGGCATCACAGGAGGTGCGTTGGGCATCACAGGAGGTGCGTTGGGCATCACAGGAGGTGCGTTGGGCATCAGAGGAGGTGCGTTGGGCATCACAGGAGGTGCGTTGGCCATCACTGGACGGAGGTGCGTTGGGCATCACAGGAGGTGCGTTGGGCATCACAGGAGGTGCGTTGGCCATCACAGGAGGTGCGTTGGGCATCACAGGAGGTGCGTTGGGCATCACAGGAGGTGCGTTGGGCATCACAGGAGGTGCGTTGGGCATCACAGGAGGTGCGTTGGGCATCACAGGAGGTGCGTTGGGCATCATAGGAGGTGCGTTGGGCATCACAGGAGGTGCGTTGGCCATCACTGGACGGAGGTGCGTTGGGCATCACAGGAGGTGCGTTGGGCATCACAGGAGGTGCGTTGGGCATCACAGGAGGTGCGTTGGGCATCACAGGAGGTGCGTTGGGCATCACAGGAGGTGCGTTGGGCATCACAGGAGGTGCGTTGGGCATCATAGGAGGTGCGTTGGGCATCACAGGAGGTGCGTTGGCCATCACTGGACGGAGGTGCGTTGGGCATCACAGGAGGTGCGTTGGCCATCACTGGACGGAGGTGCGTTGGGCATCACAGGAGGTGCGTTGGGCATCACAGGAGGTGCGTTGGGCATCACAGGAGGTGCGTTGGGCATCACAGGAGGTGCGTTGGGCATCACAGGAGGTGCGTTGGGCATTACTAAAGGGGCGAGTGCGGGAGGTGCGACAGTGCGGGTGTGGGTGAGGCAATGAGTGTGTGTGGAAGAGGGGGAAGGAGCAAGTGTAATGTGTAGCTGTGAGTGTGGGGGATGCAGCATATGGGGGAGGGAGTGAGTTTGAGAAGGGGGGAGTGAGTGTAAAGAAGGGAGGGAGTGAGTGTGGAGAAGGGAGGGAGTAGGGAGTGGGGAAGCGTTTCATTCCCCGCACACCGTGTTTCCATCACTGTACAATTCCCTTTGCTGATCCCGTTCCCATGATCCTCCTGCCCTGCTTGCTGCTGCTATGCAGACGACATCTTTCGCATCAACAGCACGGGCAGGATCATCACACATGAGTCAGCGTGGAATGAATCCCCATCGCAAGTATGGGAGGCCTTCAGGTTATAGCCCCTCAGAGCCCTCAGAGCTCTCATCACACAACGTCCACCCAAATTTTTGACATTCGTACAAACTGATTGTTCATCCGGTATCACCTGCGCTGCACTTATATATGAAGACCGGACATAAGTGCAGTGCTCCGGATAGAGGCACATGCGCTTAGTTTCGTAGGTCTGCGCCTATATCCGGGGTGATGTGGTACCATACCATTGGCAGCCTGCCTGCACAAATGTCGAGATGCCATGGAGTTCTGCTGCTTCGAGAATGCCATACTGCCTGGTCTGCGGGCTGGAGGAGCCTAGAACAACCCGAGGCACCCTACAGAGGGTGGGCCTTGCCAGAGTTGACATGCAGGAAACAGCGGACTGACACATGAAACCCTGAAAGGTCTGAAGATTGCCATCTTGGCTACAGTAACAAGCTTTGTGGTGTGGGATAGGCTGAACGTCGAATTCGGTACTCTCAATATGAGGATGTTTGCTTATTACAACATACGGTGGGTACAAATCAGTCCTTTCCAAAGTCCGCTGAATAAGAAGCACTTGACTCCAATTTCTTGGCATCCGTGATCTTGCGCACTGCCTGCAGGGGAGGAAAAAAAAAAGGGTGAAAAGGGAAGATTTCAATTCAAAAGTGAATGCAAAGTGAAATACATCAGCTTCTTTTCCATGCACTAGCAACACTGCCATACATCAGAACACATGCTCCTGACCTAACTCCACACACCTTCATGAAGTCCTCATGCACAACATAGTCGCGATAATCTCCGATGGCAAACATGCCCGCCTCAGTGCAAGGTGACTCTTGAGTCGACTCAAAAGTCACCTCCTGACAGCACTTTTGGGTCGACTCAAAAGTCACCTCCTGACAGCACTCACTCACCTTCATGAAGTCCTCATGCACAACATAGTCGCGATCATCTCTGATGGCAAACATGCCCGCCTCCGTGCACACGTTGCGCAGATCCGCCCCGTTAAAGCCCTGCATGCACAGCCAACCAGGTGTGGGTTGGCACGGGTGAGATAATAAAGTCAAGCAGGTCGGGCCTCCCTGATACCTTGTGCTTTCAAGGGCTCTCAGATATGCGCTCATAGAGGAGAGGAGTTACCAATAGAGGAGTTACCAAAGAATGGCACAAATGGTGGATAGAACAGGGGAGGGGAAGGGGGAATAGGGAGGGAGACAATTGCAAAAGGGAAGGAGAGGAGAAATGGGCTAATGCAGAGACAGGTTCTCCTCAGCCAGCTGAAGTCTTGACGTCGACTCACCTCAGCGAGATTGACTCACCTCTCCTTGAGCACACCACAATGCGCCCCTGCTGCATTCTCAATACAGCTTCTTGACGGCGACTCACCTCCGCCAGCTGGACTCACCTCCGCCAGCTGGACTCACCTCCGCCAGCTTGACTCACCTCCGCCAGCTGGACTCACCTCCGCCAGCTGGACTCACCTCCGCCAGCTTGACTCACCTCCGCCAGCTTGCCTCACCTCCGCCAGCTTGACAATGGCCTCGTAGTCGATCTCGCCATGCTTGGTGATGGCGAGCGCGTGGATCTTGAGCACCTCAATGCGCCCCTGCTCGTTGGGCAGCGGGATCTCTATCTTGCGGTCCAGCCGCCCCGGCCGTAGGAGGGCAGGGTCCAGCACGTCGGGCCTGTTGGTGGCCATGATCATCTTCACCTGGTGAAGGTTTAGGGTTTAGGGCGGGTGCACGGGGGTACAAGGAGGGTTGATGGGAGGGGTGCGAGGGACAGAGAGTAAAGGGAGGGCCGCAGCAGCGCCGGGTCCAGCACGTCCGGCCTGTTAGTGGCCATGATCATCTTCACCTGCACCATGGAAGGCACAAAGGGAAGGATACGGGGGAACAAGGAGCGGTGATGGCAGGGGTGCAAGGGACAAGGAGCAAAGGGAGGCCCGCAACAGCGCAGGGTCCAGCACGCCTGGCCGGTTGGTGGCCATGATCATCTTCACCTGCCGTGGAGGGAGGGAGGGAGTCCGAGTGAACACCAGTCAGGTGCCATAAGGCCGATGCGGTGGTAACCGGTTTCGGCCCACAAGCCTTCTTCAGGGTCCAGCACGTCGGGGCGGTTGGTGGCCATGACCATCTTCACCTGGTTGCAGACGGAGTGGAGGCATGGAATGGCGAGAAATATGAAATGGAGGCCAAGCCAGAGTCATGCAAACAATTGTCACAAACAGCACGGCCTGCTACCAACAACCTTGAACCAGGAAACGCGCATGCAATACGGCACCCAAGGAGGAAAAGCATAAAACATCGCATGCCAAGCCAGACAGCATACTCTTCCGAGCTGATCAAAGCCGTCCAATTGGTTCAGCAGCTCCATGAGCGTGCGTTGGATCTCGCGGTCGGCGCTGGTGCCCTCACTGAAGCGGCGCCCGCCAATGGCGTCGATCTCGTCCATGAAGATGATGCACGGCTGGTGGTCGCGCGCGTAGTTGAACATCTCCCTGATCAGCCGTGCACTTTCTCCGATGTACTTGTCTACAATGGCACTGGACACAACCTGCAAGGATTCAAGAGCGGGGAACAAAGCATAAGAAAGAACCACAATCTTGTGAGTCGCCGCCCATAGAGATGATGCATGGCTGGTGATCAGTTGCGCGCATAGTTGAACATCTCGCGAATGAGCTGCGCGCTCTCCCCGATGTACTTGCCCACTGTGGCGCTCGAAACGACCTGCACGGATGGGAAAGGCGCAGAGCAAAAGAGGAACAATCGTATGACTCGTCTCTCAGGATTATGCATGGCTGGTTGGCTGAAGGCGGTCGCATGCGTCAAGCCCCATACGCAGGAATGCGAACAGAGAGGCCCAGCCAAGTGGACATATGCCCTACGCTCCTTTAGGTGTACTGCGGCACTTGCGTGCGAGCCAGGCAGGTTGGGAATGGACGGACCCAGGCAGGTGGGGAAAGGACGGAGCCAGGCAGGTGGGGAATGGACGGAGCCAGGCAGGTGGGGAATGGGCGGAGCCAGGCAGGTGGGGAATGGACGGTGCCAGGCAGGTGGGGAATGGACGGACCCCAGACGCACAGCACGCACCTTGAGGAAGTTGGCGTCGATGTTGCTGGCGATGGCACGCGCAAGAAGCGTCTTGCCCGTCCCTGGGGGTCCATACAGCAGCACGCCCTTGGGGGGTTTGATGCCGACGCGCAGGAAGAGCTCGGGGTTCATGAGAGGCAGCTCGATGGACTCCCTCAGCTCGCGGATCTGATCGCCCAACCCGCCGATGGCACTGTAGCTCACGTTCCCCGGGTCCTCGTGAAGCATGTTGTACACCAAAGGGTCCACCTGAGAGTATGATGGGGTGGGAAGCAGGAGGGGCGGGGGGAAGAGCTCGGGGTTCACGAGGGGCAGCCGGATGGACTCCCTCAGCCCGCCGATGGCAGAATAGCTCTCGTTTCCTGGGCCCTCGTGCTTGCTATGCACCAGCGGATCCACCTGAGAGGGCGGGGGGATGGGGAGAAGCAAATTGTTTGGGGGGGAGTAAGAAGCAAGGACACAGAGGCAGCGAAACAGAAAGAGCAGGTTGTATATGAAAGGGTTCACCTAGTAGTGCAGTGGCAGGGAGGTGAGAGGGCGGTGAAAGTGTGTGCGTGTGTGCACACGTCGGGAAACATAGGCAGGTTGCGTGCTGTCAGCAAGGTGGGGTGGCATTACAGCCTACAATAAACTCACCTCTCCGCAGCTGACAGCAAGGTGCGTGCTGTCAGCAAGGTGAGCAGAGCACGAATGATGGTGAGGGTGTTCATGCCGAGCGCCACACGCTTGCTGACGGGACGATACGTGCTGGTTCATTCGAATGCAAAGTAAAGGTGTAAAAAACATGACATCCTGCTGGCCTCACCTTGCGGGGCAGTGCGCGCATGATGGTGAGGGTGGCCATGCGCGCCACACGCTTGCTGACGGGACGTTACATGCTGGTTCATTCAAAAGCAAATTATGGTGCCAAAAGCCTTACATCCTGCTAAGCTCACCTCGCGGGGCAGTGCGCGCATGATGGTGAGCGTGGTCATGTCGAGCGCCACTCGCGTGCCGGCGGTGAGCTTGCTCTTGTCCACCTTGCTGCGACACCCCACCACGTACCGCGGCCCACTGCTGGCTTTCACTATCACTGCGTGTGGGGATGGATGGCGGGAGAGAAAGGGAGGGACAAGACGTAAGTGTCGGCGGTGAGCTTGCTCTTGTCCCCCTTGCTGCGACACCCCACCACGTACCGCGGCCCAACTGCTCGCCTTCACAATCACTGCGCGCGGGGATGCGCGGAGAGCCAGGGGAGTGGGGGGGGGGACAAGGCACAAGTGCCGGATGTGAGTTTGCTCCTGTCCCCCTTGCTGCGACACATCTCAGCACAAACCGCGTGAGTCATTGCTCGCCTTCACAGTCACTGCGCGCGAGCATGTTATGTGTGGTGGGGGGTCAGGGGTCAGGTAAAAAGTGAACTCTTGAGGCTCCTCAGCCCCCACCATGTGCCGCGGCCCGCCGCTGACTTTCATTATCACAGCGTGTGGGGATGGATGGCGGGGAGCAAGGGAGGGACAAGACAAAAATTCGGCGGTGAGCTTGCTCTTGTCCAACTTGCTGCGAAACCCCGCCACATACTGCGGGCCACTGCTTGCTTTCACAATTACTGCGAGA